GGGTCGCTACCCGGATTCGAACCCGGGACCTTTGAATGAGAGGCCAACACCTTAGCCTCTAGGCCACGAGAGCCCCCCTTCACTTCGTACAGGTGGGAATGGGCACCGTTTCATAGGCAGCGAAATTCCAATTTGTTGTCAGTATGTTAATGTCTGAGCGCCTGTAAAATGAAACTTGCTCTGTATGCTTCTCAGGAAGATGAGATTGTTTCTGAGTGCTATCAGTGGTAGGTTTTCAAGGGTAATATATTCATATGATAATTGTTATACATGTAGTTCTACATGTAGCATAGATTGCACAGTGTATAGAGCTTGCTGATCGGCGCGAAAGTTCGCCAGACAATACATGGTAAAGGCTTCCCTGTCCCCGTAGTTTTATGCAAAAAAAATAATTCTGAAATTATGCAAAATGAGCCCAAAAATGTGAAATTATGCGAATCTGTTAATTTTAACAAAGAATAATAAAGGAAAATAATCAGAAATTATGCGAAAAATGATCAAATTTGGCTAAATTATGCGGGGCGCATAAAACCACAGGGACAGGCTTCCCAGGCCGAGAGAGTGGGGCTGCCACCATGCAACGACGGCTCCACTCTATACAAAGTCAAGCACAGGTTCATTCTACAGCTCACCAACATCGGAGTGCACAGCCACATGCGCGTCCACAGATGAGCTGCAGGATTTCATCGTCATCTTGAACAACGAAGGACTACCTACCTACACTTCTATGTGGCACGACGTGGTGGAATCAAGTGCTCGTCCATTTTTGGACATACTATTGGGTTATTGGTATCAACCGAAAGCCTGTTCATTTGCCTTCCTTCTGGTGGAAAAACAATCCATCTATATTGAAAAGAAGTCGTGATATTTGCAACTGAAGGACAGGGTTGCCTGGTTTCAGAGGTAAAATTAGCGAGAAAATGGTCGCCAAAGTTTGGTAACTTATAAAGCTTGAGAGTCGTTGGAAACTACGTAGTCTAAGCAGCCATATGCACTGCTCA